GCAACATCACCTTAGGGGACTTGAAGATCCGACGACCTGACGGCAACGAAAACGTGAAAGAACAATACGTTTAACAGGCAAAACAACAATTTTGCACGTTCATCACACTCTTTTAATTTGTACATTTCTTTGCCGTTTTATGGCGGCCATGTTGGTGGTCAATACAATAAACATATTTTTGTAGAATTTACATGAAAAGGACGTTTCGTTCTCAGAGGAGAGAAATGCTTTTGTTCTTGATCACCTACACGGACGCCGTGACGTCACGTGTAAACTTACATGGGACGATTCCCAGCGCCGATTGTTTGCGCAACACAGCATTGCATAGCCTGCGAACAGCAGACGCATTTCCGGTCGTCGCTTCTCTCCCTCCGGAAAATAGCTATTTTTCAGAGGGAGAGAAGCGACGACCGGAAATGCGTCTGCTGTTCGCAGGCTAAGCATTGCAATGTTGAAACAATGTTGCAACCAGTCGAAACCATGTCGCAACAATGTTGCTAGCTGCAGTGTTGCGCTAAAAATCGTCGTTGCTACTTGTCCCTTGTAACATAACCTTTAGCTTGTATGTTAGGTTTTCCCAATTCAGACCACGTGATATATTCTCTAGGGATTTTGCCTTCTGTCTTTTTTACACGTGGATATGCATGGGACGACATTTAGAAAGAAACCGTTCTCTAGGTTTTTTTGGCGGGGGTGGAGGGGGGGGGGTATATAAGCTGTATTATGGGCAATGTGAAAATGGTAAACTTGAAAACTAGTAGGAGTTGCAGAGAGCAAACTGCTTCAGAATTCAGATAGACACAATACAATTTATTGCCTCAAAGTCCATGTTGTGACATTTTGTCCTTTCACGTTGTAGTGGTGCAGAAAGGCATAATGTACGAGCAGAGTAATTGCCTAGCTCAATAAACCTCTTTTTGACGCTCGCATTGCTGTCTCCGTCGTCGTATTGTAAGATCTCTATTCTGGACGATTCGCGTCTAAGAGCAAAGAATAAGTTATACTATAAAGAAAAAGTGCTAAGTATCTTGAACAGCGACCCCACCCCAGGTGAAAGTGGATCCTTGTAAGTAAGGTTTGTTACGAAAGCGTCCCTAATGAAGAACGCGCATCGACAGTTTTGTTCTATGCTTTATTTTACACTTTTACTCAAGAGGAAATTATAGGCTGTATATTGAATGTTCTGTCAAGGGAGCTGGAAGACCGGCGTTTGAACTTGAAGTTGATCGAGAAATTTGGGCCATGCGTCCTACAGTCATTGAGTCTAAGTAGGTATATCAAGCCTTGGTGAACTAATGTGTACATTTTCTACAACAGTTATGCAGTCTTGACTCCCAAACGTGACTGGGATTACATTTTAGTCCATTAACTAACTTATTTACAACTCGTGAAAAATAATGCTTCTAAATTACGTAAATTGGAGCTAACGAGATCTAAATTACATCAAAATTTTGTGAACTTTTGCTTTCTGTAGTACAGTAATTCGGCTTAATATCTCTAATACAATAAGGCTACTTATTTCTTACAAACAATAAAATATTGTACACTATTAAGAATCAAAACATTCATATCTGTTAACTTAAACAACTGGCTTAATACTGGCTTAAGCCTTCTCAGTTTTTGAACTACAGTAGAACCCCGATAACTCGAACTCTGAAGGGAAACGAAAAACAGTTCGATTTAGCAGGGAATTCGAGTTACCGGAGAAACTTTCAGTGAAATTTTGATGAAGGGAAAGGAAATTTAGTTCCATTTAGCTGGGAACCCGAGTTATCCGAGTTCGAGTTATCGAGGTTCTACTGTATGAAATATCTATAAATCCGCCGTACGGAAAAACATGGCGGCTGTACATTTATTCACAATTCCTTTCGAACCTAACACGGCCAATTACACATAAAGTCATTTTTTGGGGGAGGGAAATTCGTCCCTGTAATAGCAACATTGCCTATCCCAGGTTTGAAGTTTACAAAACTTTTCTGTGCGTTTTTATTAGCAATTTTATGGTTTTCATGCGCTAACAACTCTGGGTAAATGTACCAGTCGCCATCTTTTCAGGTATACGGTGGATGTATGCCTCCTTATCCTCCTCCTCTCCTTATCCTAAGTCTCCTTAGCAGGGCTAAGCAGACCAGCAGATGAGCTTATCTCCTGTTGAAAGCAAAATAATATGTTAATTTCACAGTCAAACCACTTTTAAGTACATTCACGGACTCGTGGATCACAATTTTAATATTTTGAAAAACTCAGACATCCATGGTTATAACACTGTTAGAAGAAGGAACAATTTCCGTCTTCCTCTCTTTTAAAGGAATTACGAAAAGGAGAGACTTTTTTTATCAGTACGCTAAGGAATGGAACATTTTAGACGCATCGTTTAAAGAAATGAACTCTCTTCTTCTTTTGAAACAGAACATTAAAAGCTACATATTTTATAGCTTTTAATATTTAAATCTAACTGACATTTTAACATTTTTAATCTGTAGCTTGTATAAGTTGAGGTTTTAGTTCTTAACTTTTTACTTATTATTACTATTACGTATTCATTAGGCTCGATTTCCGCCGTCTTTGATCCTCCCCGAAGAGGAGATGAGTGGGGGCTCATTTTCCCGAACAGTGGCTGGTAATCGAGCCTACGTATACGTATTCAGTAATCTAACACGGATCATTTATTTTTCTATTGTTTTACAGGGCCTCACTGAATATCACTCTTTGTGAAGTGAGCTCCCTGTATAAAGATTGTTATTGTTATTATTATTGTAATCTCCAAAATACAAGATTTAGTGGTCGCACAACGTGTAATTAGGCGAAGCAAAATACATACGGTGGACATCAATACATACAGTGGAGATCACTCATCATTTGGCATTTGCCAACAATACGTTAAAAACAATGGAAAATTGTAAAACCGTCAACCCCCCAAATGGTCGATGTCGCTTACGAGAGATGGTGGTTCTTGAGTGAATCAAACTATATTACTTTGAAGTTTAGGAACAATGTGGTTGTCATACATGGAGGTTCCACTGTATTTTAACATATTGTGGGGTTGTCGAATAAAGGACGCTGGAGACATACTGTACTCTAAGTGTAGGTGGCTAAAATCAGGAGGTCTTGGGTCACACAAGAGGTCCAAAACAAAAAGTGAACCGGAGGAACTCCAAAACGTTCAAATGGAGTTGAGAGCGAAAACGGAAAAAAACGCAACTCCGCTGCGCTACTTTCTCTCTTTACTATAATTTTGTAGTCAGGTAACGTGTTTCTATTAACATTCCGTTCCACTTCCCTCTCTATTTAACCTGCGTAGCAGTGGTTTCGGTTTCCTTTTAGCAGCGAGGGAGAAGCGCCGGAAACGAACGATGGCATGGTATGATTGGGACTAGTAAGGTGGTGTTTGGATGAGAAAACTTTAACCAGGCTGGTTTCTTACTGTGGTGACATTTTGATTTCCTAGCGCGTTTGCACGTGTACATGCTTTTTCTGCCCCAAGTCCAAGGTGATGTTGAAGAAAATTAAGCACGCACTATCCGTTCACTCCATTGGGAGGCCGATTTCACAAGGAGTGGAGAGGTCGTTCCTCGTTTACTAGCCTCCCCGTAGACGTCCTTTGGAGTTCGTTCGTCACGTGACGTTTACATGATTCGCACTGGTACAAAATTTGGATCATTTTACCTTTCTGGGAAACTGGCCAACTTCCCTTCCCCTGAGGCAACATTAATACTTACTTCTGACTTAAGGTAAATGTAAATTAAGGTAAAATGTAAATTTATCCCGATTCTAAAAATAACTCGAAACGAATTACCTATGTAATAGGGTGTGTATGGGGGATGCCTTCTCTGTCCCCTTTATCCTCTCTTGTTTTCAACCCATGCCCTCACGTTTCTCGCTTAAACACATTCAGTAATCCTAATCTCCAGGTTGTTATTAAGCATGCGTCGCATGTATGTAGCCAGCATTCTTTTGTACTTCTACTAAGAATGAATGAAATGCACAGTACGCAATTTGATCACGCGCCTTTGGCCCTCCTATCACTCATAATCTGATCACGCGTCTTTTGAATACCTGTCACGTGAAACTTACGCAAAGCACAGCGATGGAGCAAAAGCGTAAAAAAACGCTTCATCAAAGGTTACAGATCGTTGTCGCCCGCGCTCTGTAATCTTTGGTTATTGCTAGTTTATAATAGCTAGTAATAACCACATGTTAGGGATTGCGGGCAAGAACGCTCTTACACCAACGCGGTGCTTTGCGTAAGTTTCACATGATAGAAGGTCCAAACACTAGTGATCAGATTAGGGATGGACCATTAGAAACCTTATCGCGTGGGTGAAGGGAGGGGGGGGGGGGGGGGGGAGGGGGGGGAAGAACAAAAAAAAATTGGGGCAAAAGAAAAAAAAAAAAAAAAAGATTCAAACACGTAAAAGACGAGGTGAGGAGGAGGGGAGGGAGGGAGAGGAAGAAGAACAAAAAAATATTCGCGAAACAAAAAACAAAAAGAAAAACGATTCATGCACATTAAAAGACCCTAAAAAATATGCAATTCATGCAAAGAAAAAAAAAAAAAATCCAGGCAAGGGAAATGTTTTCAAAAAAAAAAAATCATGCAGCTCGAACATTCCCCACCCTCCCCATAACTTTTCAAATTGTCTGTCCCTTATACCTTATTATAGGAAAAACGCTCAATGAAATTGAGTGTAGCTAAAAGTCGTGGGTGTGGGTAGTGGGTAGAGGTCGTGGGTCGTGGGTGTAGGTGTGGGTAAATATCGTGGGTAAAAAGAGTATAGAAAAAAATGATAAAGTAAAGTAATTGAAAAAAATTGTAGAAATTATGGAACGAAAATTTTTAGACTCTTTGGTTGCCCTTTTCACGGCTTCTTCTTCGTCCTCTTCCTGATTTTTCCTTGGCCACGTGGGACTTCCCCTTTCACAACATCACTGTATAAGAGACATGTTGCCCATGAAGTTTTATCCATACCTGAGCGATCGCCGTGAAATAAAAGAAGATGTAAAATATGCCGAAACGTACAATTTGCAGAAAGTAGGGGACAGCTCTGACTAGCTGAATGGAAATAACTGTTCACTACTAATCTTAATTCGACCAACAATTCCAATGATCAGCGGAGATTTTTTAACCCGATGGAATGCGATCACCGTGGGAAAGGGGAGGGGAAGTGAGGGGAAAAAAGGACAATTTTGAGCTAGCTGAGCTATTTCATATTTTTGGATAGAAGTCTTTCTTAAAGAAGTTTTATGTCTCTTAGCTTAGTTAAGGCGAGACTGTATGCAAATTTTATTGCCGTAGGGAAATATGATTTTCTCGATTCTTTTTGTTTGTTTTGTGTACAAAATCTTTGCTGTAACGATTCTGAATATCATTCCTTAAACTGAAAGGACGTTTCAGTCAAGAATGTTGACATCTTTGAGAAAAAGCAGCCTCAGTCTCCATTTTTTCTTTAGCCCGCTTTAGGTTAACATAGTGTACAGAGTTTCTTATATTTTTCGCCTAAATGTCTTTAGTGTCTATTTGTACTAAAGGATTCGCTTATTTGCTTTGCTCAACTTGGGGAAGGGGAATAGGACTTCTGGTGTGTACGCGGAGACTTTAGTTTCATGAATTTTACAACTTTTTGCTACTTAAATTTAATTTTTTTCTTGGAAACTTTTTTTTTACCCACGACCCATACCCACACCCCACGACATTTAGCTACACTCCATGAAATTACAGTCAAACTCAGAAAACCGTGAACGGCTGAAAAATTTCAGGAATTTTGATTGGGTAGTGACCAATCACAATGAAGTTCAGGACATGCGCGCAAACCAGAAAACCACAAATTAACTACTATTGCTGTTTGCGATTTAGGTTTCTCACGCCTTATTGGCTTTCTCTTCGCAACACAATCACGTTCCATGAATATTTCTGGTGTTCATGGTTTTGTGAGTTTCACAGTAAAGTATTGGAGATCAACACGACTTAAATTAACGCGAATTTAATGAAAAACGACTTTGAATCAATGAAATTAACGCGAAAGAGAGGGTAACATTTCAAGGTGAAGGAAATTAACGCGACGTTCAAAGAGAAACAAAACTTCTTGAGACAACAGGAACAAAGTAACCGAAATGGAAACTTTGTTCGTGGTACTTTCCCTAAACATACCAAGGGGATCAAGCGAAGAAATCTGGCCACGTGGAGAGTCCTTCACAGTTCCACTGATGCTAGCGGATCTCCACCCAGATAATTTACTCCTCTTTCTTAGTTGTCAAGAATGTCAAAAGCGTATCGAGAATTTGCAACTACAATAATGGAAATCAAGGTCGCGGAAATTAACGCTGCACTTAATTAATGGCGTGGAATATGCTCCTCGTAACATTCACAAATATTTATGCGACTTGATTTAAAAACTTCTCCTTAATTTTCATTTCCTGGAATAAGGTGTGACTGATAGAAGGTCCAAACGCGAGTGATTAGCTTGCGTTCTATGCATTCCATTCATTCTTGTTGGAAGTCCGAACGAAAGTTAAAACGAAAGCTGGCTACTACGTTCCACGCATGTGTAATAGTAACCTGGAGATTAGGATTGCGCGCTCCTCTAGTCTCCCGCAATAAAGATTTATGGAAAAGTTTCAAACAACTATTTTTCAAACTAACCTCGCGGTATTTTGCGAGGACAAGTTCCTTGATCTCTTGTGGGATCAAGGGCCCAAAAAGCTCCCTCCGCCTCACAACAAAAACCTACAAACAACAACAAAAAAAAAAAACACACATTGTCAACCAATTTCAAATTTTGAACTAGCAGGTTTGGATTTTGTTTGAGAAAGCCCTTTGGAATCAATCTTTGAAGCATCCCAGAAAACCCTTACAAACAGATTCAAAAGACTTTTTAGCTGACAAAATTAGTTTCGGTGACTTGATTTTCATTCAAATGCTATATGTTGTACGAAGTGGTTCCAACTTTTGAGTCTGGATGAAATCTTGAAGTGTGACTATTCAAATGAAAGCTACTGAGCAGTACTGTCCTGCGATATTGTTTATTACGATGACCTGTACAATGTAATTCTAACTTTGACTGACAATATTAAAAAGTATGACAATTTAAACAAAAGCTAGTGAGCAGTGTACTTTTAGTTTGCACTTGTTGGTATGTTTTGTATTCACACATTTACAAAATAGACATATTTTTTTCTCAGTTTCTTCTCTTGGGTCTTACCTCCTCACTGCCGTTCATATATGTCTCACCGATAGGTGCTGCACCTATTTTCAGTTCAATGATACACAGCAGGGGAGCATTTTCCAAATGGGTCACTACGAATCTGTCAAAACAAAGGGTTTACCTCGGTGTAAGAACTTGTGAACTTTTTCTTTGTTTTGCACCTTTTGTTTTTCCAGGTCCTATTCAGTATTGTGTTGACCTCTTTGTTTTCCTTTGTGAGTTTTCCAGGTTCTTACACCGAGGATGAGTTAAAACAAATTAAGTGGAATAGGTCTACCCAGTTCACTCAGTCTGGGTCCTGGTTTCACTTTAAACAGAACATATGATTTTTTGTCGCCAGTAATAATATTAACAGTCCATTAACATTTGCTCTAATCTGCCTTTAATCAGCTTGGTTTAGAAATTTATATCCAAGGCAAAACGGAGGGTGTGCAGTTAACTATGTTGTTATAATACGGATCTTTATCTGAAACCACAACAATGACTGCAGTTTATCACTAAAAAAATTGGCATTCTCTTTCTTTCAAACTTTATCGCATCCGTCGTGGACATAAGTGATTTTTCACGGGGTTGAAATCAGAAGATTGTATAGATCCAGATTGGAAAGTTCACATCCTTCATAAAGTGTTGCATTAGGACGTTTTACGCCATAAATGCCATATAGTCATGCGGTAGATGTGAAAGAAATGCACTGTCAGTGGTACCGATAAAAAAGCATGATACACATGCTAATCTTTTCTTTAACTCACAAACCAGTCCGGTTTCTTTTGTGACATTGTTGTATTGGTTGCTTAAACTCCTTAATGACTAGACTATGAGCAGTCTCTCTTTTCACTTAGTCCGTGCGAGACACGCAAATGACCACGCGCGTGACTAAAGGCGCGAGATTGGAAAGGCCCTCGTTTCTCGCCTCTCGCCGCTTCGCCGCTCGCGTGCACTCCCCTCACTAAATCTGAAGAAAAAAAGAGACTGCTCGCAGTCTACTTAATGACATGCACAGTTGACTCTTGCTTTAATTGTGGCCGCTATGCTTTAACAAGTAAAAAAATACATGTTGTGCCTCTGATACAACTGTAATTCACAGATGTCCGACTAGGACACTTATTTTACAAATTCTTGCTGACACTAACTGGAAATCCCAGGGAGGTCCACAGTTCTGACAGTTGACTGTATATAAATGGTGGGATCTACTCTTGTCATTAGGTTTTGTCCAGATTTTTCTAATGCCATAATATCCTCATTGTTGACCATTTTTTGGCAGCAAGATGGGCTGGTATCCCTTTACATATATGGTATACAGTTTTGGGAACCACTTGAGCTCACTTGACTTCTGTGTTCAGGCAAGGTTATCAGTAAGATTTAACATTGCTAGGTTTGTGCAGTTAGTTGGCCAGGGAATTAAATAGCTACATGTAGGAAGTTCTTTTGGATCTGTTTTCCTCATGTTTTTTAGGATGGAAGTAAAATCCAGGGGTCATGCTAATAGCTGAGTGAGTGAGGGGAAATCCCTGGTCACCAAAACCTAGTGACAGGCCTAGTTGTGAGACGACATAAAGTAGTATTAAAATAATGCCTGTTCTATAAGTAATACTTAAGTAATACTTTTTGGTACATAATAATATAATTGCATTATTATGTAGTGTTTTAATGACAGTAATAAATATTTTAATATAAATATAAATATACAGTCGACTCCCGATAACTCAAACCCCCCGCTAACTCGAAGCAATTTTCATATCCCTTCAGATCATTTTCTATATAATTTTACCCTGGATAACTCAAACTCCTGATAACTTGAACTTTTTTCTATTTCCCTTGAACGTTCGAATTATTGGGAGTCGACTGTATTATTGATCTCAGGGGCTGGTCACTTATTACCTGTGAAGAGGGTGTGGCCATTTTGCTGGGGGTCATTTTCAGACAACGGAGCATTACCTGGGGGGTCATTTTAATAAATGTCATGAAAGTAGGACAAAGCAGTAACAAGCATGATATGAAATTGAATATAACAGCCATAAATAGTAAACACCCACTGTAGAAAAAGTATGTGGTGAAATTCGGCAAGATTTGTATCCAGGGTATTCGTAGTTTCCATGGCAAACAGGTTGGACGTTACATTCAGAATGTGCACAATAGGAGGTCATTTCTAAAAAGCTATGATGAACTGGGGGATCAGTTTGAAAATCTTTTAAGCTTTCTCGGAATGAGCACAGCCCCCTCCCCCACCACCCCTCACAAGTAACAAATGACCAGCCCCCCAAAAAGACCAATAGAATATCACAAAACAAAGTAAAAGCGGTCAGCACAACAGCACAGAGAATATACACTTTGATTATTGACTGAAATACCTGCATAGGTTTGGAGATACTGTAGGCCGCATAGCCCTTATTTCTCGATCAACTTCTAATTTCAAATGGTCCTCTTCCTCCCTTGACAGTCTACAGCCTATGATTTCCCCTAAAATATGAGTGTACATAATTTAACCAAAAAAAGCGCAAATGCACAGGAGCAAGGATGGCATACTGTTGGTTAGGGTGTGGCCTTTGGTGCGTGAGGTCCCGAGCTTGATCCCCGGTGACATTACATCCTTGTTTCAACTTCTCTCCTTTCTGTGTAGCTTTGACTTAAGCTTTAAATACCCTTAAAATGAAGCATTGATGGAGGAGTGGGGGTGGGGGGGGGGGGGGGAAAATGAGCGCCCCATCGACCTAAAGTTTATAAGTATTTATTACTTTCACCATTTATAAACATAAAAAATAGTTGCTTTAAATTTTTACAGACTTTTTTAGATAAAAAAATTTACCAGCATTAGGAACAATTATTTTAACATATGTGG